GTGAGGAGACCTGAAAGTGGCACATGGCAGAGTGTGGCGATGGAGACAGCAGCAATGGGAGGCCGTACAGGGACCCATGAGACACTCTGGACCTGGCAGCAGCATGAGGAGGCGGTATAGGGGCCCATGGCAGATTAGGGGCCTGGCAGCAGCTATGGGAGGCCCGTAATCTGCCAGCACCCTATGACAAAAAATTGAACACACCAGCAGTGTGAGGAGACCTGAAAGTGGCACATGGCATGAGACACTGTGGACCTGGCAGCAGCATGAGGAGGCGGTACAGGGGCCCATGGCAGATTAGGGCCTGGCAGCAGCTATGGGAGGCCCGTAATCTGCCAGCACCCTATGACAAAAAATGGAACACACCAGCAGTGTGTGAGGAGACCTGAAAGTGGCACATGGCAGAGTGTGGCGATGGAGACAGCAGCAATGGGAGACCGTACAGGGACCATGAGAGACCTCTGACCTGGCAGCAGCATGAGGAGGCGGTATAGGGGCCCCATGGCAGATTAGGGGCCTGGCAGCAGCTATGGGAGGCCCGTAATCTGCCAGCACCCTAATGTCAAAAAATTGAACACACCAGCAGTGTGTGAGGAGACCTGAAGTGGCACATGGCAGAGTGTGGCGATGGAGACAGCAGCAATGGAGAGGCCGTACAGGGACCCATGAGAGACTCTGGACTTCGCAGCAGCATGAGGAGGCGGTACAGGGCCCATGGCAGATTAGGGGCCTGGCAGCAGCTATGGGAGGCCCGTAATCTGCCAGCACCCTATGACAAAAAATTGAACACACCAGCAGTGTGAGGAGACCTGAAAGTGGCACATGGCATGAGACACTGTGACCTGGCAGCAGCATGAGGAGGCGGTACAGGGGCCCATGGCAGATTAGGGGCCTGGCAGCAGCTATGGGAGGCCCGTAATCTGCCAGCACCCTATGACAAAAAAATGGAACACACCAGCAGTGTGTGAGGAGACCTGAAAGTGGCACATGGCAGAGTGTGGCGATGGAGACAACCCACCGACTGTTTTGCTCGCTGCCAAGCTCCACCCTATTCTCCTGATGATGCGGAAGCAATAGCTGATGACGACGAGGCTGCCAAGTGCGATCAGCCTCATCATCATCAATTAAGTGGTCTCCGCCTCACTTACTAGCCCCCTCGGCTGCGTGGTGGGTCAGGAGACAGACCTGTCTCTAGACCGGCTACCGAGCCACTCTCCTCGCCACTACTTCTTCGCCTGGCTGCTGAAGAGGCGGATGTCTCCCCCGTTCCTGACCACCCTCTGTTAGCTCTTCCTCACTGTACTGGATGACACCGGGAGCACTGGCCTCTGGCTGCGAATAGTGCTGCCTCGACCCCTTCCTCTGCTGCCACGTCTGCTCGCTCCTAAAACATTGCCTCCTCTGCCACTCCTCTGCATGTTGTCTGACATACTCTTTAATTCAACGATTCTGTGTCCCTGAGTAACAATTCTGTGTCTGTCCCTGAGTAACAATTCTGTGTCCCTGAGTAACAATTCTGTGTCCCTGAGTAACAATTCTGTGTCCCTCAGTTAACAATTCTGTGTCCCTCAGTAACAATTCTGTGTCCCTGAGTAACAAAATTCTGTGTCTGTCCCTGAGTAAGAATTCTGTGTCTGTCCCTGAGTAACAATTCTGTGTCCCTAAGTAACGTTTCTGTGGCCCTAAGTAACGTTTCTGGTGGCCCTAAGTAACGGTTTCTCATGTGTCCCTCAGTAACAATTCTGTATCCCTCAGTAACAATTCTGTGTCTGTCCTAAGTAACAATTCTGGTGGCCCTAAGTAAAGTTTCTGTGGCCCTAAGTAACGTTCCTGTGTCCCTAAGTAACGATTCTGTGGCCCTAAGTAACGATTCTGTGGCCCTAAGTAACGTTTCTGTAGCCCTAAGTAAACGTTTTGGCCTTATTGATAAAAGAATTTGTCTGTGGCCCTAAGTAACGGTTCTGTGGCCCTCAGTAACAATTCTGTGGCCCTCAGTAACAATTCTGTGTCTGTCCCTAAGTAACAATTCTGTGGCCCTAAGTAACGTTTCTGTGGCCCTAAGTAACGTTTCTGTGGCCCTAAGTAACGGTTCTGTGGCCCTCAGTAACAATTCTGTGTCCCTCAATAACAATTCTGTGTCTGTCCTAAGTAACAATTCTGTGGCCCTAAGTAACGTTTCTGTGGCCCTAAGTAAAACGTTTCTGTGGCCCTAAGTATAACGAATTCTGTGGCCCTAAGTAACGTTTCCGTATCCCTAAGTAACGATTCTGTGGCCCTAAGTAACGATTCTGTGGCCCTAAGTAACGTTTCTGTGGCCCTAAGTAACGGTTCTGTGGCCCTCAAACAATTCTGTGTCCTTCAATAACAATTCTGTGTCTGTCCCTAAGTAACAATTCTGTGGCCCTAAGTAACGTTTTCTGTGGCCCTAAGTAACGATTCTGAGGCCCTAAGTAACGTTTCTGTGGCCCTAAGTAACGATTCTGTGGCCCTAAGTAACGTTTCTGTGGCCCTAAGTAACGATTCTGTGGCCCTAAGTAACGAGTTCTGTGGCCCTAAGTAACGTTTCTGTGGCCCTAAGTAACGGTTCTGTGGCCCTCATAAACAATTCTGTGGCCCTCAGTAACTCAATTCTGTGTCTGTCCCTAAGTAACAATTCTGTGGCCCTAAGTAACGTTTCTGTGGCCCTAAGTAACGTTTCTGTGGCCCTAAGTAACGATTCTGTGGCCCTAAGTAACGTTTCTGTGGCCCTAAGTAAGGATTCTGTGGCCCTAAGTAACGTTTCTGTGGCCCCTAAGTAACGTTTCTGTGGCCCTCAGTAACAAATCTGTGTCCCCTCAGTAACAATTCTGTGTCTGTCCCTAAGTAACAATTCTGTGGCCCTAAGTAACGTTCTGTGGCCCTAAGTAACGGTTCTGTGGCCCTCAGTAACAATTCTGTGTCCCTCAATAACAATTCTGTGTCTGTCCCTAAGTAACAATTCTGTGGCCCTAAGTAACGTTTCTGTGGCCCTAAGTAACGATTCTGTGTGCCCTCAGTAACAATTCTGTATCCCTCAGTAACAATTCTGTGTCTGTCCCTGATAACAATTCTGTGTCCCTAAGTAACGTTTCTGTGGCCCTAACTAACGATTCTGTGGCCCTAAGTAACGTTTCTGTGGCCCTAAGTAACGTTTTTTGTGCCCTCAGTAACAAATCTGTGTCCCTCAGTAACAATTCTGTGTCTGTCCCTAAGTAACAATTCTGTGGCCCTAAGTAACGTTTCTGTGGCCCTAAGTAACGGTTCTGTGGCCCTCACTAACAATTCTGTGTCCCTCAATAACAATTCTGTGTCTGTCCCTAAGTAACAATTCTGTGGCCCTAAGTAACGTTTCTGTGGCCCTAAGTAACGTTTCTGTGGCCCTAAGTAACGATTCTGTGGCCCTCAGTAACAAATCTGTGTCCCTCAGTAACAATTCTCTGTCTGTCCCTAAGTAACAATTCTGTGGCCCTAAGTAACGTTTCTGTGGCCCTAAGTAACGATTCTGTGGCCCTCAGTAACAATTCTGTATCCCTCAGTAACAATTCTGTCTGTCCCTGAGTAACAATTCTGTGTCCCTAAGTAACGTTTCTGTGGCCCTAACTAACGATTCTGTGGCCCTAAGTAACGTTTCTGTGGCCCTAAGTAATGATTCTGTGGCCCTAACTAACGTTTCTGTGTCCCTAAGTAATGTTTCTCTGTCCCTAACTCTCTCCCTGAATACAGCCAGGTCTGCCTCTGTTGAATGACTGGAGGCAAATGGAGAATTCTAAAATGGCCGCCATTTATAGCTCGACCATTACACTGTGCTGGCTGGCTGGCTGCTGATTGGCTAATGCGATCACATGTCATGAATGAATGCATTATGGGTCAGCGCGCCTTGTCTGCGCGCCTTCCCAGACATCCCCCCCCCCCGCTCCGTCGCTGCACATGTCGCCGCCATTTTTATGGAAAAATTTCGATTCGCGCATCCGAAGTCTGCTTATTTTCGGATTCGACGTGAATCGAAATTTTCCTAATATTCGAAACGAATTCCACTTCGCCTACTTCGATTCGCTCATCTCTAGTATTTATATATTTATTATATATATTACATATATTTATTTATGGTATTTATATAGCGCCGTCAGTTTACGCAGCGCTTTACATATATATTGTACATTCACATCAGTCCCTAACCCTCAAGGGGCGTACAATCTAAGGTCCCTAACTCACATTCATATACAAGGGACAATTTAGACAGGATCCAATTAACCTACCAGCATGTCTCATACACGCTGGGCGTTTTTACAGCTGCTGTTTTTGGCTTTTTTGTGTTTTTTTCTACAGCTAGTAAACCCCCCAGCATGTTATTCTATATGTCCATGCACACATAGACTGTAATCAGCATTTTTTGGCTGGAAAAAAACCCAGGACTAGTGGGTTTCTAAAGGAGTTTTTTTAGCGGTAAACACACTCTAACGCTGAAAAACGTGACAAAAATGCAGTAAAACACTGCAAACCGGCATTTTTGGACTTTTTTTGAGCAAAAGCTAAAAACCCGCAACTGTGGAAAAATACGGCTAAACAAGAATGCAAAAATGCTAAAAACCGCTGAAAAACTCTGGTTTTTAACGTGACCTTACACAGCTAATGCTACAAGCATTATTAAAATTCCCAGTGTGCATGGAGCCTTAAAGACACCACTTAAACTATTTTACAAAAAGGTAGTATAATAAAAAAATAGTTTGTGTTTTTTTTCAGTAAAGCATTGTAAGAGCTATAGTTTTAGCTGCAGGTGTCTTCTATGTTTAGAGGAAAGCAGGTGGAAGGTTCAGATTACCAGGCTTCCCAGATTTCTTGGGCATCCGCTATGGTCATATATCAATTTATGTTGGATAATCTTTTCATATAGAATTAGCATACTAATTTGTTCTGTATTTCCAAGCAGGAATGCTGACACCTAAAGTTAAATGATAAAAGTTTTGCTACTTTAATATACTCACTTTGACTTTGCAATGATAAGGATGTCCGTAAAGAGGAAGAGGTGCCGATCCTGGGTCTGTAGGCCCGTCTTCAGCTGAACGTGGCTGTGTGTTATGAAGTTTCGACTCGGGCAGATGAATGCTTGGACAAGAGGGCATGATTCAGGACTGACAGGTGAGAAACAGCCATCCCTATACAAGTATAAGAAACATATTGTTAGTGAACCTAGCACTTGCATATGCTGAAACAAACAGAAATGTATATTTAATTATAGACATAAAAGCAAGCCCAGCTCTGCTATGAAAACTTGTTTCAGGTGGCCCCTTCTAGGCACTCGAAAATGCAAAAAACGTCACCCATGTTGTCCATAATAGTAAAACAAACTGTTTTAGTTAAGCTGTTAATAAGTCTTGTTAGCAGAATGATGTCAGGAGCTGAGGGGAATAGTTTTGCAAGTGTTTCCCGCAATTGATAGAGGCTACAAGATAATGCTGCAATATAAAAGTGAGGATTTTATACTTTATGCTAAATTGTAGAAGAACCAGTTATCAGGGGTGGACTGACCATTTGGAAACTCGGGCACTGCCCGAGGGCCTGGGGTCAGTTGTGGGCCCCATGAGATGCCCCTGGTACCTTTTTCATAGGCTTTTTTGAGTTTGGGCAAGGACACAGGGGCCCCATGATCCCCTATTGCCCAGGGCCCCATGAGTTGTCAGTCCGCCCCTGCCAGTTATGTAATACCCACTGGGATGCAGCATGCAAAAAATACGTTATTCAACAATGCCGCCCTTAAAGTGCTTTGAGCAGCCTTAGCTACACATACAAATATGGGCCATACCTGAATATTTTATTGTGGGATGTACTGACATATAAATTAGATCAGCCAGTGGAGAGAAAGCAGAAGGTTCCAAGAAGCCAGTAATTTCTATAAAAGGACTACCTTCCATAAAGGATAGACTGTCGAACTCCAACTTCACAATGTTCAGCCAAATCTCCTAGTCTGGGTGTGATGTTCCAGACACTGATATCCTCTGACAAGGTGTGAACCACTAACAAGTGTCCAGCTACAGGATGATACTATTTTCTGGTCTTAACTAACATCCATGAAAGCTTCCAGGAATGTAACCCAATACAGACTAGTCAAATTACATGAAGTCATGTAATCATTATGACTGGTCATCTATCCACAAAAACAACCACACAGACAATAAACCCACAGAAATAATAAAAATCATAAAAATAAGTGTATGATTAAATGCACATTAATGAGTAAAGATAAACTTAGTAAAGGACATGTAACACCCAGATGTGTAGATTAGCCATTCTCAACCATGGTTTTGTGAAGCCCCAGGGTTCCTCCAGGGCAGCTAGAGGTTTCTTGAGTTGTAGCTAACTGACCTCCAATCTGATGATGCCTACATAGTTCCAGTTCCAGGTCCAATGCCACCTGGCAGAGGCAGCAGAATGACTGCAAGAGGGTCATTCTGGCCACCACTGTAAGGCAAGCATTCTTCCCACTTACCACCCACCAATGTAAGGGGCATTTTCCCCAATGACCCCAGATGGACTAATCTTACTAGGGGTTCCCTGGGACTTAAAAAATTATTTCATGGGTTCCTCTGGGGTAAAAAGGTTGAGAAAAGCTGACGTAGATAATACCCTTAAAGAACCAGTCCTTTGATATGGCATCTACAATCCATAACATATTCTCTTGCAATTATTCTATTATCCTGTTATCTTTAATTCTGCTCCCTTTTCATGATACCTCAATTTGCTGTCATTTTAATGTTTTCAGTGTGTATGCACATAGATCCCCAGTGTATAAAGAACAAATGGCTGCTGGAATCACCTTAAAGTAAACTTGTTATGAGTGAAATATGTAAGCTGCCATTGCCAACCTCCTTCTACACACCCCTTCCCCCAAAGAATGTGTTGTGGTAACAACTCCCAGGGGGTGGGTCCATGACACCATGCAGTCAAGTGGAAAAGGCTCAAAGCATTTTTTATTAAAAATATACACTGGTATTAAACCCTCAGATGTTTTTTTTTTTCCTAACACACTGACCACAATAAAATAAACATACTTCAGTAACCTATTTGTTAAAAATTCTTATCACAGCACTTACAGTTTCCCGCTTTCAGTGCTGCTGGTTTCTGCTCCCTCGGTGCTTATTCCCTGAACCTCCGGTCTTCATCTGAGTTAACAGTGAACAGTGCAGTTTTAGGTCACACTGTTAGCTTGAAGAAGAGAAGTGGAAGGAGAAGCAGGGGAATACTTTGCCATCCTAGGTTATGGGGCTGTGTGTTTCTACTGATGCACACAGTGTAGGAAAGCCCAACTCTAGCCCTTGCATGCAAGGGTGACTCCACAGGATGCTGCAGGAGAAAGAAGCCTCCCGAAGTAGGAAACCTGGGGTATTGGTCATTGCACCAGTGTAAACTGAAACATAGACAAGAATTAAAAGTTAAAGAAGTTGCATCCTCAGTAAATGATTAAATCAGCTGCTGCCTGTTTCTCCTATGAGAAGTTCACATTATTCCTATAGCAACTGCTACTCTTACAATGTGCAGCTCACAGCATCCTCCAGAAAAAAAGCGATGCATTCTGGAAAGTATCAGTTACATCACAGCCCAACCAGATATCATTTAAATTAAATAAAAGTGTAACTTTTCCATCCTTTTATGTAAAAATGTAAAATGCTGAGAAATATTGAAAATTGAGCATTGGTAAATATGATCAACACAAGTGGTAGATCTATACTGTTTTCATATCTCAAGATCGAAAAGTGAATAAAAATTTTAAAAGGTAACTCCATTCTGCAAATAAAAAATAAAAGAAGAGGTTAAAAAAAAACTCAGACCCAGCAGTGAAAGTGACCACATGACAAATCCTTCCTCTTTAGTTCAGCTGGTGTCTGTCCTGCGGTATGACAGTTTACCCTGAAGGCTGCTGCTCCCTTTAGCAAAATTCTATCTATTTCTTTAGGAAATGCTAACCCCTCCTGAAACACCATGACCTGTGCAAGAATTTTACAGCTGCCACAGCCATCTCCCCCATGCATGAAACATCACACTCTTTAAGCTGCAGAAAAAAAGATTCTGGAGATTTAATGGTGTCAATCACCCCAATCAGCCTTTCCTTCCACCAGAGCAGGCATTTGCATGGTCCATCTACCCATATAATAGACTGCAGGCAATTAGAAATATTAGAAGTTTAACAATAAATGTTGTATTGTGCCCCATAAGTATAAATGTACTTATGGATTTAAATTGATTCAAATAGGTATACTGCAGTGTACATGGATTCAAATAGTGTATTTAAAATTGCCTCTTTACATTTACTCTTCTTCATCACCTTTTTAACCACTTGCCCTCCAGAGGATTTACCCCCCTTCCTGACCAGGTCATTTTTTGTGATACAGCAATGCGTTACTTTAACTGACAATTGCGCAGTCATGCAACGTTGCACAGAAATTACATTTACGTCCTTTTTTTTCCACAAATAGATCTTTCGTTCGGTGGTATTTGATTGCCTGTGCATTTTTAATTGTTTGTGCTATAAACGAAAAAAAAAAAAAACAATTTTGAAAAAAAAAGCAAATATTTTTGATTTTTTTGCTATTAAACATATCCAGTAAAAACATTTAACAAATCTAATTTCATCATAAATTTAGGCCAAAATGTATTCTGCGACAATCCCAATACGTGTAAATGAATTGGTTTACATGCAAGTTATAGTGTTTACCAATTGCGGTATAATGGCTGGAATTTTTTTTTTTACTAGTAATGGTGGTGATCAGCGACTTATAGCAGGACTGCAGTGGGCATTCTGACACTGGCGGGAACTGACTTGGTGTCACTGACATCCCCAGTGACAACAGTACAGATATCAGTGCTAATTAAAAGCACTGACACTATACCAATGGCACTGGGCAGGCAGGGGTTAACATGAGTGGCGATTAAAGGGTTAACTGTGTGTGTTTCACTGTAAGCACACTGCGTTGTATGGCTATGCTATGCAGGAGCGTACAGGGATAAGATCTGTATTGTTTACATACAGGTCTCTCCCACTTCAGAAATCCTCAGAGATCGCGGGGTGCTGGCAGGGAATCACTGGCCAGGACCCGGTGATTGACAGCCGAGGCCACGAATGGTGGTGCGTTAGGGCGCACATATACATGATTTTGTGCACCCATGCCACTCTGTAGAAGTATTTCTGCTATAGGATGGCGCAGAAGTGGTTAAACAAAACCATCAAATCTTACTATATCTATCTATCTATCTATCTATCTATCTATCTATCTATCTATCTATCTATCTATCTATCTATCTATCTATCTATCCATCTATTTATCTATCCATCCGTCCGTCCGTCCGTCCATCTGTCTGTCTATCTATCTATCTATCTATCTATCTATCTATCTATCTATCTATCTATCTATCTATCTATCTATCTATACATCTTTCTATCTATCTATCCGTCTATCTATCTATCTATCTATCTATCTATCTATCTATCTATGGCAGCAAATTTATATGAGTGGGCAGCCATGTCAACGCATACTTGGCCCGCACAACGAGCAATGGTGTGAACCTTCCCTAAAAGTGGATGCAGACGCATCCATATGTCAAAACTTGACAGGTGTGCAGAAGTGGCTGCACAGCCCCAAATGCAGACAGTGTGCAGATGCAGATGCAAAACCAATGGCAGTGTGCACACAGAACGTATGCCAGTGCCCTTCTGAACAAAGCCTTACTCGCTGGATCAATGAAATAAAGGAAAGAAGCCTAAAGAAAAACAAAAAAACAAAAGCAAGCATCAGATCTACGAGTTGATAAGCTACAATATCATTGTTTGAGGGGTTTAATGCTGCTTTATCTTTGTAATGCCCTTTAACACAATAACTAGACATGAACTAAACATACAACTTTATTAAAAGGGTTACTAAAGACTTGGAACAAAGAACTTCTCATTCATAAAACAAAATCTTAGCTGTCCAGCACTAAACACTACGTGGTTCATCAGCAATCATTTTAACAAAAGTGCATTATCTTGAAGTGAACCTGTCAATCCAGTTAAACTTACAAAACCTTAACTGGGATAAGTGGGCTTAGGTCTGCAGGCATGGCTTATTGCTCAAGATGAAGAAATTGAGGCTTTAGTAAGACAGTTGTAGAGCGCTCCCTATGAAC